ACCCAGCTAATGTTTTGTATTTTTAGTAGAGACGGGGTTTCACCATGTTGACCAGGATGGTCTCGATCTCTTGACCTCGTGATCCACCCGCCTCGGCCTCCCAAAGTGCTGGAATTATAGGCTTGAGCCACCGCGCCCGGCTGGCTACTTTTTGATTCACCGTGACACTCTGGCCCTCGGCTCCTCATCTGTAGGATGGGGATGAGACTCCCGGCCTCGTCGGGTTGCTGTGGGGATGGAGTGGACTAGTGTGTGTGGCACGGAAGCTACAGGGCCTGGCCCACCATAAGCGCTCCATACACCCGAGCTGATATTAATAGTAGCACCGGAAGAAAGAATCCTGTCTCCAGGACTGTACTCATTGTGGAAGGAAAGTCACGTTGGAAATCTCAAGAGAAGAAGCAAAAGTCACTGCTCTGAGGAGAAGAATTGAAGGAATTTCCTCTCATGCTCAGGCAGTTTGGGAGAGCCTCCACATACGCAGGAGATACCTACGCCCGCGTGTTCTGAGCTTCTCACTGCTATCGCCTCCTCTGATGACTGGTAGACTCCTAAGAACCCTAGATCAGCAGGGCTTAAAGGACCTGAGCCCAAATACCCGTTTAGAATGAGAAAACCGAGGACCAGAGAAGGCCAGTGATGAACTCAAGGCCACACAGCCAGCGGACCTGGTCCACAGCCAGGCCAACCCACAAAACTGCTACCAGGTATGCATTTCACGATAGCAAGGAATACAAAAGAATAAACCTAAATGCGAGTACCCAGGGCATTGAACTAACCTGACTTTACTCACTCCTTAAAGGGCCGTAATCAACGTAAAGCATGTGATTGAGGCTGGCGGAGAAAGCAAGGTGTTTCTATCAACCCATTTTGATGGCTGTGTTGACGCTTTACATTTTACACACTTCCCGCAGAATGAAACCCCAAACCTGGTGGCAGCTTGCATTGCAGTAACAAGGATTTCCAGAATGTACCCCATCCCTGCTCCAGCAATGACTGGCTATGTAATGCTGAGCTTTCATGTCCTCATTTGTGAAAGAAGATATCAGCCACCTTCATCATGCTGTTATAAAAATAAAATCAGGTAACTATGTCTGTCTGGCATATAGCAGCCACTGCTTTCCCCGAAGCCAGCTGTCTCCTGGCCTTATCAGCACCGGAGACCTCATCAGTCCTGCCACAACCGCCGATCTTGCTCTGGGAGTTACAAAGAAAGGTTTTTCCCCAGGCACCTCAGGAAAAGAAAAAAAAAGAAAGAGAACACCTTCCATAATACTTTCATAGGCCAATGGCTTTCAATTTCCTCAGCCAGAACCAAGAGCTAAGCAGAACCTCATTAAGAAGAATTATAAGGGTATTTCTTTTCAAGTTACCAAAATGCCTCCTTCCTTATCCACCTTGCCCTTGCAGGCTGCTTCCCCATGTCCGTGCTGACATGGAGAACACTGGATCCAGAAGCGTTCACCGGGTTCCTGGTACTATAAAATTCCTACCCCGGGGACGTGCTCATGCGAAACTCTCAATAAATCGTTCTTAGCTGAACCAAGCAGAATCAGGAAAAGAACTCCAAGGAAGATACATTGAGCATCTACTTACTATAGGCTAGATACTGGGTAAGCCCCCTTCTGTGCTCTTGTTTAATGATGACAATGCTGAGAGGTGATCACCACTGTCCTCACCTTACAGATGACGAACCAGACAGTCAGAGCACTGTGCCTTGCCTAAAGTTTCACTGTTGAGAAGGAACTGGGTCTCCTGACTCCAGGTCTTCCCACTGTGAGGCCACCAGTTTATTGCAGCTGGAGGCCTCTCGCATCTAAAGCATCGTTGTAACTGCTTTCCCTTTCTGCACTCTGCCTGTGCACACGGAAGCCCCTAATTTGTAACAAGTCGTTTGATAACTCCAAGAGAGGGGGCCACATCCTTTTTCTCTATGTCTGTTGATTAACGAAGACAACACTATGCTTCCAACACATTAGACCAAGGGGAAAAATCCCTGACTTCAGGGATTTTCCATCCTTTGGAACAAGGAAATATACACAGAAGGGTTACCGTAAAACATAAATACTGCTTTTTAAATGATGCCAGTCTCTCTTTTAATGTGGCCTGAATCCTAAAAATTTAAAGTGTGATTGTGTCCATTCTTATATTTTAAGTAAACACACAAGCCTTAATATATGTGTAAGCCATAAATATCACGGCCAGCTATTTAAGAGTGGGTTCTCACACTAACACAGCTCTTCCTTGCCCCTTCCTTGCACCCAGTTTGACTCCAGTCCTAGGCGTGCTAACCTGAAATAGTTGCTGGCCGCGGCAAGCACCACGCGGTGGCAGGAGAATTCCTGAATGTCCACACAGAGGATGACGTCTGTCAGCGCGTTTTCCATTCGCAGGGTCTCCAGGCCGTTCTGAAGAATTAAGGAGAGTCCCGCGTCGTCAAATTTTACCTTTTCCCCATTTAAGATCTCCACCAAGTCTCCCCTCTTCCGGGAGGGCTCATCTGCAGAAGGCGCCAGGGGCCCTTCCAAACTCTTCTCTACCACGTCACCCATGGTCCAGGCGCCCCTTTGTCCTGCCGTCAACATGGATTCTGAAGGAGCGCCCAAGTGTCAGGCAGGCCCCATTGCAGAAGCTGAGCGGATTTCCTGTGCAGGGCCCCCCACTTAGCAGCAGCTGTCACACACGCATAACAGGAAGTCTCGCACTTTCTCATCCTGTTACTACAAATGCCAGCAACTTCTATTCTTCTTCTTTCTGTGAATAATCACAGGGTTAGAAATGACTTAGAATAGGCATGTGGGAGGGGGCTCTGGAGGAGGAGTGGCCTCTTTGAGTCCCCTGTGAGTGCCGTGTGTTTATTTTGGTGCATCTCCCACCTCACATCCGTGAGCAGGAAGCCTCCGTTGGTGGCTAGGACATGCCCACCCGTGGTGCTTCCATAACCCAAGTCATCAATGAGGGGATGGACAGGAGACATTCCATAATCCTCCCAGGGCTCTGAAACCCCCCAATGATCCAACCCCTGCCCTTTGCACACCTTGGAAAGCCCCACTTATCCCTAGCAGTCTCATTTCCTGCAGCACTGCCGATCATGCACCTTCCTCCTCCTCCCTGCTCAGGGAAAATCAATGTCATGGCAAACATGAATGTCTTCTCCCCATAGAAAAATGTCTAGGCCAGGCACAGTGGCTCACACCTGTAATCCCAGCACTTGGGAGGCCAAGGTGGGTGGATCACCTGAGGTTGGGAGTTCAAGACTAGCCTGACCAACATGGAGAAACCCCTGCTCTACTAAAAATATACAAAAATTAGCCAGGCATGGTGGCGCATGCCTGTAATCCCAGCTACTAGGAGGCTGAGGCAGGAGAATTGCTTAAACCTGGGAGGCAGAGGTTGCAGTGAGCTGAGATCATGCCTTTGCACTCCAGCCTGGGCAACAAGAGCAAAACTCCATCTAAAAAAAAAAAGTCTATTGTTTCAGATATGCTTTGGGGGCACAAAAGAAATGATTTCTGAGACTCCATCACCAGCATCTTCTCAGAAGACGAGTCAGGGTAGGTCCACACTTAGTTGCCCCAGCAAGTCTCAAACTAGCCCAGCGTCCACTGACCATGCGTCTAATGGGGGATCCTGAAGTCTTTTTATTACCTCTGCAGGTCTCAGTTAAGTAGTAATTACTGTCATTATTAAAATCTCATGATATCCTGGGGAATTTATAGGAGCGTATTAGTTAGCGTTCTCCAGAGAGACAGAACCAAAAGGATACCTGGGGAGAGACAGCAGAGGAAAATTATTAGGGGAACCGCTCACATGATCGTGGAGGCTGAGAAGTCGCATGACAGGCCCCGGAGGCCTCAGTTCAAGTCCAAAGGCCTCAGAACCAGGGAAGTTGGTGTAACTCTCAGTCCAAGGCCAAAGGCCTGAGAACCCAGCGGGAGGGGAGACTGGGGTACATCTTGAGTCCAAAGGCGGGGGATCCTGGAATTCTGTTGCTCAGTGCAGCAGATGACTGTGTGCAGCTCCTGGAGGCAGAGACATTCAGCTTTCCTCTGTTTTTGTTTTCTCTGGGCCCCTGGCTGGCTGGACGGTGCCCACCCACACTGAGAGTGAATCTTCTCTACCGAGTCCACTCAGGCTCACACACTAAGCTCTCCTGGAAACAACCTCACAGACATGCCCAACACAAGCGCTTTCCCAGGTTGCTAGGTATTTCTTAGCCCAGTAAACTTGACATCTAAAATTAACCGTCACAAGTACAGTCATGTCCAGCACAATGATATTTCAGTCGGTAATGGACTGCATATACAATTGTAGTCCCGTAAGATTACAACGGAGCATATAAAGAAACCTGACAGACCGCACGTATTGGCATGGCAGATCAGGTCGTGGAAACGGCTGATTCAGTATGGTGCTGCTCTCATCCACCTCCAGGGGTTGGGAGCACCACCAGTCCTCCCAATCAACAGTCTCAGCCTTTTTCTCCGACCTGCTCAGTGGAGACTGAAGCCCCCTCCAGGAGTTTCAGTTCTGCTCCATGGATCATTACTCCTACAATCAAGATCTTTGATATTACCCCAACTCGTTCTTTATCCACAGCTGTATCAATTAACATGTCTTTTGCTTTCGTAATGGAACAGCCCAGCAAAAGTGGTTTAAACCAACAGGAATCTCACATGCTAAGAAGCCAAGGAGGAAGAGTCATCAAGATAGCTGACTAGAAGTACCCAACACTTACCTCCTCCACAAAGAACAACCAAACCAGTAAGCAGATAACCACACACTGAATGACGACTCTAAGAGAGAGCACTGGAATTCCACAAGAAATCAACAGAGACCCATAGAGGCAGGGAAAGAAAACAGCTGGGAAGTAAAGCAGACGGCCTTGCTGCCTGAGACTGGCTCAGAGCCAAGACGGACTCTCCATTGCGGAGAAAAGGTGAGCAGCAGGTCCCCTAGCAGTCCACATCCCCACCCTGGATGCTCGTGATTCTAGCCACAAGGGAGCTCCTTAGCTCCCACAGGCCATGAGCCTGATACGGGGAACCGATACGGAGCCTGGAGTCCACACAACTGCACTGTTGCAGCAAGGGGGTTGGTACTGGGTCCTACTCACCCCGAAGACCCCAGCAACTGCAACACAGTGCCATTCTGAGAGCCCATATACCAGCCATAGTCAGTGAGAAAATGCCATAGGAAAGTAATGCCATTTACGATGGTAATAAAACAGATGTCAATGCCTAGGGATCACCGCAACCAGCAGCATAGAGAAAACTGTCAAACTCCACTAAGAGATGTGAAAGAAAACTTAAACAAATATAGCAAGCTCCTTTACGGAAAGCCTAAATATTACTAAAAGGACCAGTTCTTTCCAAATGCATTTGTACATTTATTTTACTCTAATAAAAATTACAAGAAAATTTGGAGTTTAGGTTTTCTGTTTTGTTTCGTTTTGTTTTTTTGACAGAGTCTTGCTCTGTCGCCCAATCTGGAGTACAGTGGCCTGATCTCAGCTCGCTGTAACCTCCGCCTCCCAGGCTACTGTCATTATTAAAATCTCATGATATCCTGGGGAATTTATAGGAGCGTATTAGTTAGCGTTCTCCAGAGAGACAGAACCAAAAGGATACCTGGGGAGAGACAGCAGAGGAAAATTATTAGGGGAACCGCTCACATGATCGTGGAGGCTGAGAAGTCGCATGACAGGCCCCGGAGGGCTCAGTTCAAGTCCAAAGGCCTCAGAACCAGGGAAGATGGTGTAACTCTCAGTCCAAGGCCAAAGGCCTGAGAACCCAGCGGGAGGGGAGACTGGGGTAAGAATTGAGTCCAAAGGCTTCTCCTGCCTCAGCCTCCCAAGTAGCTGGGACTACAGGCAAGCACCACCACACCTGGCTAATTTTTGGTATTTTTAGTAGAGACGGGGCTTTTGACATGCTGGCCAGATTGGTCTCAAACTGCTGGGCTCAAGTGATCCACCGCCTCGGCCTCCCAAAGTGCTAGGACTACAGGCATGAGCCGCCACACCTGCCCCGAGTTTAGGTTAAATTTAAACGAATGGTATCAAGATGGGCTCAAAGCACAGTGGGACCATATGTAAAAGGATAAACATTAGGAATAGACTTTAAAGTGGACCCAGAGTCTTTTCTCCCTGGAAACTACAAAACTGAGATAAATACGGAATGTCGTATTCAGAAGCCCCGTATCTGAGTTGGAAATTGAGACTGCGTCCCAGTGTCAGTGATCTGGATCTTCCAGACGGCTGAGATGTCTCATTCTCACTGATCCAGTGGCAAAGTTTCTGATGTGATTTTTAGAAAACATGTGTCTCAGTAAGAATAAGTAGTCACTCAAAGAAGGATATTCTGATGACACATTTATAGTTGCAAGGAGTCGCCTGAAGAAAGGTTGTTTCTTTCTTTTCAACATTTCATCCCTGTCTGGCTTCCTAGCCTGATGAATGGGAGGGCAGATTTTTACTTTCCGACCTGACCTTTTCTTTCTCAGCCCTTTGGAGATTAATAGTCATGAATTTAAATTGAGACCTGGCAGATGGCCAAGGTCAGCTTCCAGAACTCACATGCTTAGGCCGGGTGTGGTGGCTGTGTCTGTAATCCCAGCACTGGGGAGACCGAGGCAAGAAAATCCCTTGAGCCGAGAAGTTCCAGACCAGCCAGAGCAACATGACGAAACCCCATCTCTACAAAAAAAATATAAATTAAAAAAATTAGTCAGATGTGATGGCACGCATCTGTAGTCCCAGCTACTTGGAAGGCTGAGGCAGGAGGACTGCTTGAGCCCAGGAGGTAGAGGCTGCAGTGAGCCATGTTCTCACCACTGCATTCCAGCCTGGGCAACAGGACAAGACCCTGTCTCAAAAAAAAAAAAAAAAAAAAAAAAAAAAAGCCATCCGTTGAGCTGTGTTCAGGAGAACTATGGAGGCTCCAGTCGTCAGACTTCAGTGTCAAGGTGAAGTAGAGATGAAGCCAGGTGAATGAAGGAGAACTAGGTAAGACGGGATAGAGGGTGAGAGGAACAAGGCGGGAATGCAACACCGTCTAGGATTTTCGCATACGTCGGAGCTGGGCCCCAGGATGCCCACTTAGCCCAGCTGGTGGCCTTCTGCTTGGCTAAGGGGGCCTCACCGAAAAATGAAGGACCAACACAGACCCCACGCCTCACCCCAGCCGCAGCTCCTGTGACCTTGCTCCTGTGCATAGCTGTCCAACCTTCTCCCTGGTCACTCTCCTCTGCTGTATATATTTTAATGCTCTGAATCTGTGTTCAAAGTACTGCTTTGCTGGCCGGGCATGGTGGCTCAGGCCTACAATCCTAGCACTTTGGGAGGCCACAGCGGGTGGATCACCTGAGGTCGGGAGATTGAGACCAGCCAGATCAACATGGAGAGACCCTGTCTCAACTGAAAATACAAAAAAAAAAAAAAAAAAGAGCCAGGCTTGGTGGCGCATGCCTGTGATCCCAGCTACTCGGGAGGCTGAGGCAGGAGAATCTCTTGAACTGGGAGGCAGAGGCCGTGTTGAGCAGAGATCGTGCCATTGCTCTCCAGCCCGGGCAACAAGTGCAAAACTCTGTCTCAAAACAAAACAAAACAAAAAGTGCTGTGTTGTTTTACCCTTGCTATTGATTGTACCTTTTGTTAGTATTAAGTGGCCCT